TCTTCGAGTCTGTGGTGATGAGGCTCATACGGGAAATTACCCTCTGCCTCTAATTGAAGAGCATTGAACATTGAACATTGAACATGTCAGGTCTCTGTTTGACCGCCCTTGACCTCTTTCCAACCGATTTCTGCCTCGGCAAACATCACGCGCCGCGGAAACCTATTTGATGAAATGCGCAACACATAAACGAGCCAGTGTAATCTATGGAGGTCGACGACTGGTTCCAGTGAACGACCGCGGTTACCTAAAGACTTCTGTCTAACCTCAGCATTGCTCGTGCAATGCTGTGTGGACAGCGATGTTCGAACACCGATAGTCCCGTTCCCGTAATGACTAAGTCTTTACCCCGTAGAGCAGGACTGGTCTAACTGCTGCAGCATATAGTTGACTCCTCACAGACAGCCGGATATTGCAACGGCGCAAAAGAAGATTAGTCGTGATAATAACGCAACCCATGAGTGAGCAATGTAATTTCGTTTCACCGTGTTTTATAACACAAATATTTTCCGACCCATACGATGAAAATTGGTTGAATCAACAACAAAAAACACCAGAAAATGATACTAATTCACAGAGAGGCAAGGTGTTCGCAGACATTAAATAATCTGAGTCTAGGTTCTCATGTTGAATACACCATACAGCTCGTCGCCTTATTAGCGCGTTGTGATGTAGACGCACGAAAAACCAAGTCTGTGACCAATCACAACTGCTTGTACTGAACAAGACTAAGTAGACTTTAACCAGGACAAACGAGACAAAGCAAGGACAGCGCATGGCTTGCTGGTCCAACTTAGACAACCACGAACGTGCATTTCATCAATGTGAGAATCTCGATTAGCAATAGCGATAACACGGGCAAACTGTGTGCATGTGCACGAGCAAACAAGATCACTGTTGCGATTGTGAAAACAAAAACGAAAAAACTGCACTGGAGAGATCGCATAATATTAATAGTAATAAGAATAAGAATTTCGTTTGAATCGTCATTCGCATGCACTCAGCCACGCGCTGGCTAACCGACTGAGAACGACCTGTAGCTTTTTATTAACTTACTTTGTATCCTTTGTTCTTATGCAATTCTAGTACTCACCACATGATGTAGATTCTCCACCTGTCTACTTTGGCTTCCTAACCGCGACTACGGAGATCATTTTGGACGTGGAGCGGAAAACCTACCCAAAAAACAACAGATGCCCTTGAGCTAAACTGATGTTTGGTTGAGTGGGTCCGAAGACGTCTGATCCCTTGAGGTCCATTTGTTTACGCTATGCGTGAATTTTGGTTATTCCTTGCACAGAACACCAGACACAAAAACATTGGAAGAAATGCAAATTTATTGAACCGGACTATAAAGCAAAATTGACCTGCTCGTAGAAACTCACTGGGGACTTCGTTCCGGGGTTGCAACGAATACACCCAGGTAGACGCAAATGACGGAACAAATCACAGCAACCAAACCAATGGCGGCAAATCGGCTGACAAATTTAATCCCCAGAAGGACACAACACATAACCATCAGTAACAGGATGGTACCGTAGATCCGAGTGTTATTGAACAGAGCGGCATCGCTAGTTATGTCACCGAAAAGTGAAGCTTGCGGGCATATGTATTTCTGCAAAAAGAAGAGAAGTATAGGAAAGCTGGTTAACTAAATACGGCTGAAAAAGTTTTCAAATCAAGAAGCAGGTTAAGGGTAAAACCCCAATGAGACGACGAAAATGATGGCAAACAATCCATTCGCAGGAACGAAACAGGAATCCCCAGTCTTTGAAGATCACTGGGGCAAACGGTTTTATCCGACGAGTTTTTGCAAGATATTACTCGTAAACAACTACGCTTAAGTGAAACACAGTGAAACGGCACACAATTTCACATTTTCAAGCTTAACAAGGCAAAATTCGTGGAACACTATTCGTAGGAACCAGATCATCGCTCAACAATGGTGGTGAAGATCTTGCTGCGGTAGAACTAGTGCATTGCTCAACATAGCAGAGCTGTGTGCTACTGAGTGCATCCTCAAGTCGCAGATAGAAGAACGGCCGTCATCTCGCGGCTGAAAGTTAATAAGGTGGGCTTAGGCATCTCGAATAAGCGGCCACGGACGATCAGCGGCAGTGCTTGAGGATGTGCAGGGTTCACCTCCTGGCCAGGGCTCTCCGCAGAAAACACCAAAAATATCTGTGGGCAAAGCTATGACGTGGCGAGTGTAGCTCGACACTAAATGAGGCCATTGCTCCTTGTGGAGATGAAATATTCGACAAGGTTTTCCATCAGAGGCGAATGAACCGAAAACTGGTCCCCGGCTCATCTGGAACATCGCTGCAGCCTTGGAGTCCGCGCTTGGTTGCGCAAAGGCTAGTGTGCACCCTCGAACAAGGTTTACTCTGAACCGGTGCTACCGAGTAGCACAATAACCCACAACGCATACGATCATGAACTTTCCTGCACTTATGACTCTGCTCTATGGGGTTGCTCAATCCGGCAAAAAAACATACTGCATTGTATACACCATCTTTTCTCGGTCTCTCCCCCCCCCCTCATTTCACCTTAACTCTAACCACATTCCTCTATCTTCCTGGGATTTTTCAGATGATCGTACNTAGTGTCTCGGGTGGAAATTCGGCTGCTGTTCTCTCGTGTCCTACCTCGGTTACCGTCGAAATCTCTCCGAATACTCCACCAGCTGAAATTCTTCTCTGTCCTCAATATCCGTTCAAACTAGCCACATTTTATTTGAGTACTCTGATGCGTATAGGCACGTTTAGCTCGTACGCTCGAGACCCTTGCCATAGAGATGTTGCGTCCAAGAAATAAGCATTCAAGACTCCAGCTCCATTATCAGATTGACGTCCCAACCAAATCAATCTGCAGTTTTACTTACGCCTTTCTGGACACCCCAAGGCTGCAGCTTCCAGTCTTGCTGGCTTTTGCGTGGCTCTCAGTGAGCCACGACGAGGTTCGTCATAGTGTGTTGGGTGCGGATAGTCATTCTCTTAAAGAAGTAATCGCTTTACACCGCCTCCGATGGATTGGCCACGTGTTTTGTACGCCTGTCCGTTGTCTACCCTTCCGTGCTTTTTGCGCGTGCTGGACAAGGCTGGAAGAAACATCGCGGCGGTCATGACGTGGCGTACAGGTAAGAAGAAACTAGCTTCAGCTTTGGGTTCGGTTGGTGCAACTCGCCCTCGTCTACTGACCACTCTTTTTTCATATTATCTCGGTCACCAAAAAGTCAAACTAAGTAGCATGCGAGGGAAGATAACAACGAATCAGAGAGTAACTGTGAATCCGTTTCGAAGGTATACTTGAGTGATCAACGCCAGTTCTGGAGCCACTTTTTCAGTTGATCATCTGGTGACCTCTTGTCGAACCGGTTTGGATTCAATCGGAAAATTGGAATAAGTTGCTAGAACTGAGTTCAGGAAAGCACGAACGACGGTTGAGGAAATTTGGCACACAAGTTTGGTGAAAACATTCAACTCTTTTACCCACGATCGATATTCTTGTATTCTAAGCCACCAGGCTCTGGATGTATTTACGTCTACAAAACTATTTGGGCATCAGGTTTGCGTAATTTTCCTTCTTGATCTTGCACTTCGTGCTCTGTATCCCTCCCCCTTTAATTATGCCACAGAGTGAAGCTTGGTAAAGTCACTTTCCATAGACCGACTATCACTTAATTATTTGCTTTTCTCATTTGATAGTTTCATTATTATTTCAAACCACATTAGTCCACAACTAAATCCAGTCTAGAGAGGAGCCAACTTCTCCTACCCCCGCTCTATTGGGAGTGCCCTGTTCCTCCTGAAAAGATGCTATTTCAACCGTGATTTTATAAACTCCACTCTCAAATAGCTCCCAATGGAAACGGTTTCTGTTTTGCACTCACCATCCCGTCACGACTTTGGATCGCTCCTCAGTCAAATTTTGTTTTCAGTTTCGAGACGCAACCTTCAAATTACAATTATGCCAAACTAACTGACTGTTATGGGGCTTTGGTTTGGCTTCTAACGCACACGAGCCTCTATTTTACGCAAGAAACCCGGTCCCCTTTGAGGAACAACTGTGTCGCTCTCAGAGCAATTAAAGTGTCGTCACACTTCGCTCCAACCGAAAAAGCCTACAATCCCTGCCCTGTTTGGCCCCGATTCCGTCCACGACGCTGAACAAAAATAATTGCAACACGATAAGATTTTCAGAATCAAAACACACTGAATTGATCATTCGAATAAGTAGCAGGTTGCAAATTTTCTTTTCTCGATTGCTGATAACGATAGGTCAAACGGTGGGATGCATCTTTTGCGGTGAACAGGAACCCGCATGTACACATCAGAGAAGTTGACTGACATGAAGAAAAAACCCGCAAAACAAACAATTTCTGAAAACTCTCAATTGATCGATGTAGAATGGATAATATAAAACACGGAGAATGCAAGTCCGCTTGTGTTCTGCTCGCAACCTGATCGTGCGGTTTAGCGAGGTCATATGTGACAAAATTTGTATTGAACGACCGGACCATTTGGCACAAGGGAAACCACTAAAATAAACATTCACATTTGGATTAAAAGCCTAACTAGACCCGTCATTGATTACGATATGAAAATGTTGAACGACTAGACACGTATTGCGAGAGCCTGACTCACCAAAAACACCTCCACCGCACCGACCAGATACATGGCAGATGCTATTGTGGTGCCCAGATAGAATAGCAGACCGACAGCACCGCCAAATTCCGGACCGATTGATCGAGATATCATAAAATAAGATCCACCAGCTGGAACTTTGCCATTAGTTGCGATCGCAGACATACTGAGAGCCGTAAGCATGGTCTAAAATCGTGGTGAGATAAAAAGGTAAATTGAAATCTATCGCACATACCCAGACATTTGTAGAAAAGTTGGATAAGAACAATTGGAGATAGAACATCAACAAAACTAATATTTCTGGGAGCAAAACAAAGTGATTTTCACTTGTTAGACTGCTCATTGGTGTAAGCTTGAAACGATCCAAGCAAGAAGTGGATCAATCCCCGAAAGTCTGTTTATTCGCGATGAACACTCATCTGTTAATGTTTTACATTGACAGTATCCGCCATTGATCAATGCATTGAGAACTTCAACCCCTTCATCAACTTCCAATTCGTGGAAAAATACGTAGAAGTTGGTGTCTGCCTTGTTCCATATGGTACCATCACAACTGCATCGAGTGCTTGGTCAATAAAAACAACGCCGCGTATGGTTTCAGTTATAAAAAATAGCATATGTGTAACTTCATCTCATTGCTTTACATGACCTCACGGTTGCGGAGAGCTTAGGCAAGTGAATATTTCATAAAGTCTCAGATTGAAAGAATCAACTGTTATTTTTAGGTAAAATCGATGAAACTTCGCCATTCATCAAAACCGTTTGTGGAACCCTAAGATGAAAACTACCTCCCCATAGCTCTTTAAAATATGTGTAATGAGCAATGATCATATGAAGGATAACACAGTGTTTGTTTCATTTTTCAATCAACCGGTCTGCAAATTTCTCTACGACGCACTGCTGACGAGTCACAAATAGGACGAAACAGTTGTGTGCAATGCTCTTTGTCGGTTATCACAAACATTGTCCAACGCATTCTCTACGACGGTTCTAATAAAGCGTATTATTTGCTGACATTGAAATACACCTTGAATAGTTGGGGAAAAAAACTGAAAATTTCACGTGAATTAAATGAACAGGTAGGTTTAGAAACAACACAACCCATCAAACAAATCAATTTACCTCTGTTTTCACTAAACTACTCCTGACGATTTTGGAATCTGTTTCCCATCGAGCACACTTATCGTCATCCAATCATCCGTACTCTCCTGACTGTCACAATTGCCATGAGCACTGCAGCTAAACGAATTAAGGTTTCAAAATCCGGATCAAGGTGGGCCTGTTCGTCTCCCTTTCTTGCTTCGGCCTTCGAAACCTCTAGCATATTGCACAACGGACCACGATCAAGGCATTCAAACTCTAACACAAGTCCTGGAATGGTTCACCCTTGAACATCTAGTTCAATGCCTCAGACGCACCACTCATCTTACGTGACAGATTTATGACAGAACATACGACAGGCTCTCAACTGCAGAATACAGTAAAAATAATTTCATTCTTCCCTGGCGGGCAAAGTGATACCGATCTATCATGGCCATCGCTGGCTATTGTTAAGTTTTTTAATCAAAAGAAGGAAGTGCTAACCAAACAGAATTATCACTAACGCATCAGCCGTACTCAGACGCCTAATGCAATCCGTCATAATTTGATTTCTCCCAATTATTTCAGATTAGTCAAACACACAATTACCATATTTGAAAAAGGATTCACAAAAAATAACGATACCAATAAGTTCAAGGAGGACAAAAGATGAACCATAATCTCGAATGCTTGCGCATAGAACGGAAGGTAACCGATCGAGAATTTTCACTGATTTCGTCGATTTCAGTTGTTAAGAAAACATTCGTCAATCCATTGACAGCTCAGGTGAGGTGTACAAGATGCATAAGCGAAGGGGAAGGTGAGCAGGAGAAACGGTAAAATATCGACCTGGAAGGGAAAAAATCAATACGTATTTTTCTCACGTAGTTTACAAACGGGACGGAATTCTCTTGTGGACTGAGAACAAATACAAATACAACAAAACATATTAGAGTTAGAAACTTACACAAGAGCAGCACATGAGTACGATGAGGAAAGATTGAAATGCACCTGCGACTCCAGTGATCCAACCACAACGGACGAACAATATAAGGCCCAAAATATTCTGGCAACATGGTAAGAAGACACCCAACAGTGTGCCCAGTTGCTTTTTCTGTGTTACGAGTGTCACAGAGGGGAGTGAGGTGAGAGAAAAAGATCACTTAAAACACTGTGCGAAACAATCACAGAAACACATCAGAACGAAAACAAATTGAAATTCATGTGTTTCGTAAAATTTGTATGCACATTGTTGAAATTAAATCGCTGATTTTTACTGATAGGAAACGTATCATGCAGAAAACTCCTTTGAAATGATTTTGGTTTGTAACAAATCCAATCATGTGAGTTCGGCCATTCGAGCACAATGACTGAATCATTGCGGTTAATTCATAATAGATTCCCGATAGTATCACTCGCATCGTCTGAACGAAAGACTGCACGCAATCAATCTAGGATTTTACCTGCGTTTGCGAACTAGTGGTAATGTGAGACGTCCACACACCCCTAATGTATGACTTGATTTGGAATATAGACCCCTGGATAAAACATAAATGATGCCGGATGAATATATTCTTATTTAACTAACTTGGACGGAATCGCGGTGTGGCCGAATCTTACGTATAAAGCGGATATGATACATCGGGCACTGTTATTGTCATGTTATTCAATCTTTCATATTGAAAATTATTTTCACTGGCTTCGAATGGAAAACCCATTAGGTTTGCAATTAAAGTCACCACTATTATCGGTTAAAGGAGAAATATTTGTTTGTGGTGAGGAGCAGCAATAAAACTAACTCTTAACAGAACACTTCAGACCTTCTCGAAACTCGTGGGATTATTTAACCTTATGAAGTTTCAAATACATAACGTTGGCAGCTCAAGGTTTTTCAGTCAGACAGACAATTAGGGTTTTGCTAACAAGCAGTATGTACTTAATTAATAATTTCACCATTTGGTCCTATAGCATCCTTCGACATGCTCACAATGAAAGTTTTTCAGAGCAGGTAATCCCATGGATAACAAAATTAACATCCCAAACTTCTCTGATGATACGAACCTTAATCAAGTAGGGTAAGTAAGTCCATGAAAAACTCATATAGGGACAGCCAATAGTGCCAAATTTGGGATTTTTAGGCATAAAATTGTTTTAAACCGTGTCTAGAACCATTCCGTAACGAGATCAGTTATTTTCAGAATGATGCGATATGTCATGACCAAAAAGGCAATTGTTTTTTATTTGCTACTAAACTTCCCACGCCATGAATAAACGCAAAGCCGGATTTGTACAACTGCCTTCTGGTAGTCTCAATCTCAGTGGGATTGCGCATCCGTTTGATTTGCTCAGAACAGGAGGGTACACTTGCATCCAGTCTACACTGGGACGTTTCCGTGATGAGATTCCTAATGGAAAACTACACACAGAAAACATTTCTATCACAAACTTCCCGGACTCGAGCCATAAAAGGCTGTATAACATGGCAAAGAACTGAAGAGGAAGAGCGGATCATTGATTTGCGAGAATTTTATCTGATGCACTTGACGTAGGATATCTGTTTACCAATAAGAACCTTCTGCATCCAACAGCACATTTTACATTCTTATCTCACGGCTAACATCCTCAGCACAGAACGGTTCATCTCTCCCAATTAAATGCCCATCTTTGTTGATGGTGTACTAGAAAAGCTCATCATTGTCGACCCATAAATCGACCACGGAGACATAAGCATAAGTAACAAGTGCAACAACTGAAAGCCTCATACCGGCAACCAGTTACACTTAGATTTCTGTTGAACAGATCTGTTGCTTTTTGGAAACCCAACAGAGAAGAGATACCAGCAATATATGCAGATATGCTAATGCCGCCTATTCTTTACATGACACTGTACGATGTGCAGTAAGCATCAGAAACAGTATTTTCCCTTCTAGTCAGTTGTCTCATTGTGAGAAATGAAATGAATTTAAATGCACTCAATTCCCGATGAAGAACTCTGTCAGTCTCATTTGATTATATTTCTATGAGTATGAGCCGCGCAATCACAGAGACCTAGGGTTCAATTATGAGAACCAGCAGCATAAGTCATAAAGCTTGGAGTGATGAACCACAGAACGCCCGAATAAGATAGGTGTAGTAATCTGTCGGACGACAATGAAACTCCTGCACCATAGTTGGGGGACGATGGCAGGATTCAAACCACCAGTCCGAAGCATGTTGGTATGACAGCAACTATCATCACTTAACCAGTGTCCTCAAGCCAACCATCAAATAGAGAACAATCAATGATTTCGACCAATGTACAAGGATCATTCGTAAGCAGCCCAGCAAATGAATTATCTCATTATCGCAGTTATCGCCTCACTTCATCTGCACATAAAAACACACGGTAGCCTAACAAAGTCATCACAAACACATACATGCGCGTACTGGGGCACCAAATGAGATCTCAACAAGTCCCATACAGAGAGAACCCTTTCGGCTTTATTATTGCACCCTCATAAGTTGTTAGAATAAGACTGATCGAAAGGGAAGAAAATAACGCAACTCGTTTCGAATGCTTCATGATGGAACGAAACGCCACAGCACGAGCGAAAATGGACCATATACGAGATTGGAATTGTTAATTGTTAATATTGTGTACAATGTTGCGAAAAACAGATATTGTGTGA